TAGCACGGTGGGTAAATGACCCCAGTGGGGTGGGGGGGAGCAGCACCAGGGAGCCCAGCCAGTGTGGCGGGGGGGTGGCTACTGGACGGGGGGGAGCGCAGAAGAGGAACACAGGAGTTGCTAGGCCACAGCGCATCAGGTGTGGTGTCCTGTGCCCTGCCATGCTGCAGGAGGTCACTGGGCCCCTTTCAGTGACTGACCCGGCTGCGTCCCAGGGTGGGAGCAGGCACCCCCCAATGTGTCAGGCCGGCTGGAGGCCCGTGCGGATTCCTTCTTGAGCCCTCAGTCCCCCATCAGCTTCTCTGAGCCTGGCCCTGCTCACCTTTATCTGCCGGAGTCACAGCTAGAGTGTGAGGTGCAGTTCTAGCAATGACGGGGGAGCTGGGGTGCACAAGCTGCTGCTGCCAGCAGGCCCTACGAGCCCCCCACTAGGATTCAAATGGTTGTAGTGCTAATGGAGGGGGCCCCTGCTGTGCACCCCTCCTCTGAGGGGGGCTTGGCCCAGCACTGCTGCTGTGGGCTTTGTACCCCTGGTTCTGCAGCACCTGGCTCTGCCCCACCCATGATGGGACGCCAGGATAGCTGGGCCTTGTGTCTGCCCAGGCTTGTGGCCCCTGCGGGAGGGAGAGCTCAGTGGTTTGAGCATTGGCCTGCTAAACCCAGGGTTGTGAGCTCAATCCGTGAGGGGGCCACTTAGGGACCTGGGGTAAAAATCTGTCTGAGGATTGGTCCTGCTTTGAGCAGGGGGTTTGACTAGATACCTCCTGAGGTCCCTTCCAACCCTGAGATTTTATGATGGCCAGGCAAGAGAGAGCCATGGAGCTGCCTTCCCCAGCAGCCAGAGCGAGCAGAGCAGAGCAGGGTGTGTCCGCAGCAAAGAATCCTCTCCCAGAGGGGCTAGTGCAGCCAGCACGTAACCTGGGGCTGGCGTCAGGCTCAGTGGGGCTGACCCCTACTCTCCCCCACAGGAGTCTGGCTCTGGAGCGCTGCTCCCCACGGAGTTATGGCAGCAGCCGGCCCGCCTCCTGCGTGGCCCGTTGGGTAAAGGTAGCCAGCACGTCCTTGCAAAGCACCATGCAGACACTGACAAGGCGCCTTGGGAGATACGTAAGGAATAGCTAAGGATCGCTACATGCACCCCTGCAATGCAGCCGTGTCTGGGGTGGAACGCGGCTGCTGGTTAACAGGGCACAGTAACGCTGCTCGCCAGTCAGGAAGTGAAGGCGGATGCTGTATCCAGCTGACGCTGCCATACAAAGGGGGGCGGGGAGGGCGTAGTTACCTGAGCTGGAGTGTGGCCAAACTCTCAGGGTCCTGAATGACCACCTGGGCTCAGCTCAGCACCTCTGGTTTTCATGCCCTCGGAAAGCCGGCACTGCCAGCAGCACAGCGCCCCCTAGCGCCATGCTGAGGCTTTGGCTCCACACTGATCCAGCGGGAACAGCACCATCTACCAAGTCGTGGCCCCTACCTGCTTTCTGGTGTTCCCGGGGCGTCTCCCAACCACCAGGGACCTGGCACAACCCTCCTCTTCTTTCATCTGGTTAGATTTCCTGTTGTAAAACCCACCTGTCCAGGAGCTGGGAGTGCCCTGCAGCATCCCGGCTGAGACCCCAGCTGGCAACATCAGCTGCTCCATGGCCAAGGCAAACGCCAGGAAGCTTTGTGGCCCCACGTGCCCTGGAATGCACCCTCGTTGCCCCTCCAACACCAACATGCCAGGGGCCTTTCCAACATGCCTAGCTGGGGGGAGGGATAGCTCAGTGGTTTGAGCATTGGCCTGCTAAACCCAGGGTTGTGAGTTCAATCCTTGAGGGGACCATTTAGGGATCTGGGGTAAAAAGTCTGTCTGGGAATTGGTCCTGCTTTGAGCAGGGGGTTGGACTAGATACCTCCTGAGGTCCCTTCCAACCCTGATATTCTAGGTCTATGGAGCTAGCCAGGGAGGCTTCCACACAGGCCAGCGTCACAGCTCCCGGGGGTCGTGTCCTGTTCACTCTCCTCAAGGGCTCCTGGACTCTAGTTGGTATCTGGGGGTAGAATTTGGTGGGTTTATTTTTGACGCTGAAAACAAGTCATTGTGTTTGTAGTTAAACGGCCCCTAGTGCTTAAATGGGAGAGCAGCCTGCCTCTGGGGTGGGAGCCCGGCTCAGCCGCTGGGCCCACTGCAGAGAGGAGCAAGCCCAGGCACTGGAAAAGATCGGGTCGGACTTTTTAAGAAACCTTTGATGAAGCCTGAGTGGCTGGAAAACAGGGCGTTGCTCGCCTTTCCCCTTTCTTCCCAGGCCTTTCCTTTGCTGTTCTGTTCTTTGCTCACCCCTTAGTTTCGTTACAAAATATTTGTCAATAAAAGAGCAATAAATGTTGTAAAAAGAATAAGGAAGAGCCTTGAATCCCTGCTGTTCATATTTTAAAATGTCCCCCATGTGATCTACCCTCTGTGGTACTTCTCTGCCTCCAGCACCAGAGTACCTCAGAATCGTTCAGGTATTTGTCCTCACTCAGCCCCGGCAGGCAGGGCAGTGCTATTAACCACATTGTACAGAGGGGAAACTGAGGCACAGAGCAACTAGCTGGCTGCCCAAGGTCACACAGGACTATATCGATAAGCTACCAAATGCTCTCCAGCCAGCGATACCCCACCATCCCGCCAGTCCAGCGCCCCAGCCCTTCCGTCAAGAGCTGTCTCCCGGCTCTCCAGCCAAAATAGGGAGGACACAACATTTCTAGGATTACAAGCTCACAACCCCCCAAAAAACTCATCATAAAGAAGCCCCTGTGGAGGCCCCTGCAAGGTGCCAGCACATGGTGTTGAAGAGGGACATACACACTGGGATGGGGGCAGAGGGACTGACAGAGCTTGGGGCTGGGATGCTCAAAGGACCCCAGGGGATTTAGGCACCCAGCACCTGTTGCATCCCAGCAGAATTCCTAACTCCCCATGGCTCCTTCAGACCCCCCAGCCCAGCCCTCCTGCTCCCACTAGTGGTGGCACCAGCCCCAACAGCTCAACAATCCTGAGGCAGACCCCAAAATCGTGAGATTGTTTTGCAAGAGACTCTTGTGGTTGTGAGCTGTCTTGACTTGTGAACTCCACACACATGCCCTTACCCCAGTGGGTGTCCTGCCAGCGGTCCCAGGGCTATCCAGCAAGGGGGCTCTGGCCCATGGCAGTCAGAGCGTCCACCTTCTTCCCAACCCAACCACCTCATTAATCAGTTCTGCTGCCCCAGCCCCACATCTGTCCCCTTGCCTGCCCCTCACAGCCTCACATCTGTCCCCATAGGCCTGTCTGTCCCCTCCACAGCCCCACATCTGTCCCACCCACTGCCCCAAGTCTGCCCCACAGCTCTAGGTGCTCTTCACCCCCCTCCCCCAGGTGCAGCAGGGGCAGGGCAGAGGCACCATCCCATCCCCACTGCTCACAGGAGGGGTTGGGGAGGAAGGGGCAGAGCAGCCGGGGTCTTTCTGCTCCCCCCTCCCCGACTCCTGGGGGAGGGGGATCTGCCTGCCCATGCAGTCACCCTGATTGGCTGCTCTCCCACCAGAGGCGGGCCAGTGGGGAAGCAGCCAGTCGGACGGGGGTCCCTGGCAGAGGTGGAGCGTCACCTGTCCTTGCACTCGGGTCACTGCACTGAGCTCACTGCAGTCAGTGGCAGGAGCCCCATTCTGGCCCGGGCCCTTGGCGCTGGTGTCCCCACCCCAGCCTGGGCCTGCTGCCAGCCCACTGGCTCGGACTGCAGCCAGAGCCCTGCAGCCAGGCAGCCCTGGGCCGCTGCCCGGCTTATTAGCAAGTCAGTGACACAATCTATGGCCATGTGCATGGCTGCTGGGTTCCTCCCGGAGGCTACCTGCTGCAGCGTCCCCCGCCGGCCCTCCCCTCTGCCACACGGGCAGAGCCAGCTCCCACCCTGCGCCCCAGGGTGCAGCCATCCCTGTCCCTCCCCAGTGGGCCCGGGGTGCACCACAATAACAGCACGGAGCGGCTACGGCATGGCCAGGAGCCTGCTCCCCCAGCCCTCCCTGGAGCAGCCTGAGGCATGGCTGAGCCTTGTGCTAGCCCGGGGCACTGGTTCGCTGGGGGGGAGCTCAGCGGTTGGAGCTGCAGGACAGTGATGCCCCCTCTCCCTGGAGCCCAGCAAGAGTGGGGCTCGGAGCCCTAGGGGCACTCTGTGATTATCGCTCGAGCGCAGTCCTACACGGCACCCCCCCGAGCGAGACACGCCATGGCCCAGGGGCTTCTGCCAGAACAGCTCTGGTGGTCCGAGATTGCACCTCGGCACAGCCCACCGACAGTCTGTCGTGCAGCCCTGGCCGGGACATGCTTCGAAATCCCCCGCCTGCATCCTGCAGGCTGAGCTGGGGGTGGCAGGTGTGTGGAGTCGGGAGCGTGACCTGGGCCCTGCGCAGCTGCTAATGATTCCCTGGCGCTTTCCCCGAGAGCAGGGCTTGCTCTGTTCCTTCGCTTGGCCAGCGTGTCCAGTGGGCTGCTGCTCTCCACCCCAGAGGGGGCTGTTTTCAGCGGGGTTGAATGTTTCAAGTGGGCACAGGGCTTTGGGCTGGGCGCAGAGCAGGGTTGTTCGAGATGTGCCTAGAGATGGCACGTTAGAGGCATAAGTACAGCTCCCCACACAAACCAGGGTGCTGGCAGCAGAGGTCCCTCTCCGACGGCTGGCACAGAACCCAGCGCGGGGGGAGCCCCGTCGCTGTTTGGGGAGGGGGAAAGCCCCTGGCGGAGGTGGTCTGGGTGCATGAGACTGTTCTTCCCGCCCCGCGGAGCAGCAGGGAAGGTGGAGGCTGCCTGGTAGCAGCTGCGGTTGCCTGCACTGGTGCATTGTGCATGTAGGTTGGAGCAGGTGCTTGTGAGAGCTCAGAGGATGCTGGCAGGCAGGGAGGGAGGGATCTGAGCAGCTCACGTGTCTCCTCTGCCTTTTTCCTCCTCTCGCCCTGCTAATGTTGGGCTTTTCTCTCTGTCACTGCAGGCTCAGGATGGAGAACTAGCAGCCTCTGGGCACTGCAGCCTAGAACCCCCTGCCCCAGTTGCTTCTCCTGTCCCACACCCTCCATCTGTGCTGGCTTTCAAAGGGCCATTTTCTCCCTTCCTCCTCATCAGGCAAAGGAAAGCAAAGGAAGAGTGCGCCCGCCTCTCAATGCGAAGCCACAAGAGGAAGAAAGGGCACGAAGGTCTCTCTCCCGAGCAGCGTGAGCCCAGCCGGGGCAGATCCCAGCACACGCTGAGCCTAGGGGGATTATGAGGCAAACATGAGCCTCCTGCAGAAGTGGGTGTTAGCAGCTTTCATCTCCCTCGTGCCTCAGTCAGGTAAGTGCTGCCCAAGGCAGCCTCTCAACTTTGGGCTCCCCCTTCCCTCCGGGGGTTTGTTCTGGTCCCGGCTGCGGGGCAGGAGCATGACCGCCAGCAAACCCGCAGATCCACTCCCCCCGGCTTCCCCTGCGGGCCCTGAGCAGGACCCCGGCTTTTGTCCCCCACCCCTTCTCTTTCCCCTGCTTGTTTTTCCCCGGCCGTGACCGCAGTCTCTTCTGCTGCAGCCACACGCTTTTCTGCAGTGCCTCCCCCGACACCAAGGTGGTGGGAGCAGGGAGAGCTTGGAAGACCTGTTCGGGGGCACGGGAGGATTCCCCCAGGCTTGGCAGGCTCTGATTCCCTCGCTAGCAGAGCCTGGCCAGTCCACTCACCCCACTCCGCTGGCTAACGCCCAACCTGCCCTTGGTGAACTTTAATTCCGCTGCAGCGTCTGCTCTCCTTTGCACTCGGCAGGTCGCGCTAAGGCGGAGACGCAGCCTGGTGCTTTGCAGGGGAGGTTTCCCAGCCCCAGATGGGACACAAGGCCGGTTGCTTCAGAAATCACCCACCCCAGCAGGTTAGTGGGGCAGAGCGCGGGAGGAGAAGTCCAGAAGCATCAGCTGGACACCAGGGTCAGGAATGCGCCTCGAGGAGGAGGCAGCCCTGTAAGTGAATCCGTACAAGCATCCCCCTTCCACTGTCAGCGCCTTGCACCCCGGGCTGCAAGTGCTCCCCGGGCCCCCGGGCGGGGCGGAGGAGAGGCATTCCCAGCTGGGGCTGTGCTGGGGAGCCAGAGGGCCCAGGGCCCGTGCGCTGGGACGGGTGGATGGCAAAGGCTCTTCCAAGTTCACAAAGCTGCTGCTCTTCAGAGCGGGGCCCAAAGCTGCTTCATGGCTCAGCTGCAAAAAATGCCCCAGGGAAGAGACTGTTGGGGTAGCCGGGTTCGGCTCCGGGCCTGGGCCATGTCCTTGGTGCTGCGCCCCTCCTCGAGCAATCCTGGGGACGGGGGGGGGGGGGGGGGGAGGCACTCTGCCACTGCCCACGCTGTACCCATCCTGGGCTGCCCCAGAGCTCGGCTCGCAGGCCCCTGCGGCTGCCTGGCACCTCCCACCAGCAGCCGAACCCCTAATGTAGCCATTACAATGTGGGGCGGGTTGGAGAGAGTAAACGTGAGCCCCCGGGCAGGGCTCATGCATAATGAATGGGAGAATCACTCAGGCACTGGAGGAGGAAGCACATTTGCTGTAATGCTCCCCGGTTAACTCCCTGGCCTTGCCGTGTGGGCGGATGCCGCGGCGGGGCCGTGCTGAAACCCCCCCCCCAGCCTGCATTGCATGGGAGATGGGATGGGCTCCAGCCCTGCGCAGAGACCCGCAGCCTGGATCCCACCCCTGCACCAAGACAGAGCCCGCCATGGGTCGCCCCGGCTGGAGCGCATGGTGCCTAGGCAGGGGCGGCGAGTTGTATGGGCCCGTGGTGCCCGAGCTCCAGCAAATTCAGAGCCCGGGGTGTGTGTATGTGGAGGGGGGACTTGGACCCGTTCTGGGCACCACCAAAAATTACACAAACCAGCCGCCCCTGTCTAGGGGCCCCAGCCACGCTCTGGGCCCTGGCCTGCAGCACTTACCACGCCCAGACTTTGCCTACTCTCGGGGGCTGACTGATCCGCTGAAGGGGGAACAGACCTGACAGGCAGGGATGAGCCCTGGGAGAGCCCCTGGGACTGTGGTAATCCACTGATGCCCGGCTGCTGGGCCCTGGCCAGTCATGGGCGGTTACTGCTTGGCCATACTCAGTCCATACAGACTCTGGGCCCAGGAGGCTGCGGCCTGTCTGGAGCATGTGACGGAGCGATCCAGTGAGCCCAGCTCTGAATTCAGGCATCCAAACTCCAGAACCCAACCAGGCCACCCCCAGCCCCACGGGTTCATCCCACACCACCCATGGCGCGCCCAGAGGTTCCCCCTGCCCGCTGCACCAGCCTGCTCAAAACAGAGCCAGCCAGCCCTTGGCTCTGGGTCTCGCCCAGGAATCTGTGGGGCTCCCAGGGCAGAGAGATTATGGGAGTAGGCTCCAAAATGGCTTTTCGGTCTCCCAGCACAGGAGTCTCGTTGTCCCCTACCGGCTGATTCACAGAAGAATAACAACCTATTTTTGTGAGCAGCTAATGGAGCTGTTCCTTTAGTGTGAGGGGTAGAGTCTGTGGTGCAGGGTTGGAGGTCCCAGGTTCAAACCCTGCTGGTGACCCCCGTTAGAGCAGCTTCCCTGGCATTTAGGAAGCAAAGCAGGTTCTTTCCCTCTGCCCCTCCCCGTGGGTAGCAGAGCCCCATTGCTGAGGCGCCAGGCAAAGTGCTCTGGAAGCAGCCACAGGCTGAAAAAGGCCAGGCGTGGCCATGCCAGCTGGGGCTGCTTCTCTCTGCTTCAGCGAGGAGCCCTGCTCCCCCGCCCCGGGGCTCTGATGGCAGCGGGCCTTGGCGCATGAGGGTATCAGCCAGCCAGCACCTCCCACTGGCTGCAGGCCCCTGGGGAAGGCTCCTGGATTCCAGGTGCCACTAAGTCACCAGGCAGGCCTGGGCCTGGGCCTAGAGCCCCCCTAGCTGCTTGCTGCCTACAATCTGCTCCGTGGCTGCTGCTCTCCCTTGGTGCAGGGGCTGGATCCGGCGCCACTGATGTCCGCGTGTGACGAAGTGGGAATGTTCTTAATGATTTCTCTGAATACTGTAGGGGTGCCTCAGTTTCCCCTATGCATTTCTTAGGTATCTAGGTGGGGGGATCATGGTGTATAATTGTTGCAGAGCCCAAGAAGGCCCCTGTGATACTGTCTGCACAGAGAATGGCCGGCACTCTGTCTCCTGGCAGCTAATGGCCTGGGCCCCTCCTCTGCAAAGATGCTAACGGAAGGTGTTGGAGAACAAAGAGATCAGGTGACCTCCTGGCCCGGGAAAGAGACAAAGGACAGAGAGGAGGGGCTGGAGAGTTTCAGTTTGGGGCTGGCTGGGGACGGGGAGTGAAGTGCAGACGGGGTTGTCTGGCTCACTGCCCCCCAGAATGGACCCGGCTGAGGGATCCCGTTCACTGTATCTACAAGCTCTGGTTTAGACCATGTTCCTGTCGTCTAATAAACCTCTGTTTTACTGGCTGGCTGAGAGTCACATCTGACTGCGAAGTGGGGGTGCAGGAACCTCTGGCTTCCCCAGGACCCCACCTGGGCGGACTCTCTGTGGGAAGCGCACGGAGGGGCATATGCTGAATGCTCCAAGGTCAGACCCATGAAGGTGAAGCCGTGTGAGCTTCTTGCCCTGAAGACAATCTGCTCACAGAGAGGAGACTTCACCAGAGTCCTGACTGGCTTTGTGGGAAGCAGTTCCAGAGCAACCCCTGGGGGCTCCGTGACAACTGGTGGCAGAGGTAGGATGTACTGCACCCCGTGAATGGCGCTTCTTGCAGTAAATGACTTGGGAGCAGTAAAACGAAGGGGGGATAACTAGGACCAGGCATGCTGAAGGCTCAGAGAGGGACGGTTTCAGGGGGCGATTAACCTCTGGGAGTGTGTGACCAGCGAGAAGGACTGTTAGAGTAATGGGGTTCCCCTGGGGGATCGCAGCGAGCGGTTCCAGGGGCGGAGGAGTCTGCAGCTCGACCCTGGCAAAGAGGTGGTGACCACGAGAAGGGCTGGCACACTAGGGGTTCTTCCTGGAAACCGTGGGGGAGCTGAGAGCACACGGGCCTCTGAGTCCAAAGCAACTTGGGAACAGCAGAGTGATGGCCTATCACCATCTCCTTAAGAAGGACATTGTGATCCTGTGCAAAAAGAGAGGGTTACGCATTGGGAAGTTCACCAAGGCCCAGTTAATCGTGCAGCTGGAGGACGAGGACCGTTCTAAGGAGCAGATTCCTGACCCAGACGGGGTTACAAGAGGATCTGGGAGCAGCTGGAGCAGTAGCCAGGCATCCCCGAGAGTCTGGTCCCCAACCGGACGGGGATCTTCACGATCGGGTTCCCCGTCAGGGGATCGGAGACGGATGGGACTGGAGCTGAGTCCGAGAGAGTGAGAGGACCGTGAGAGAGAGCAAGAGCCCGAGGAAAAGCTGCAGGAGAAGCAGCAGCAGCATGGACTGGCGATGGTGGAGCGGAGAGCCATAGGGGGCTCCCCAGGGGTGAGTGGGGATAGACCCCGGGGTGCCAGCTCCGCAGGGAACCTCGACACTAAATTGCTGCCCCTGGTTAAGGAGGGAGGGGGAGGTGGACGCCCACCGCACGGCCTTCGAGCAGGCTGGCGATTTGAACCAGGGGGACCCTGCGGAAAAGCCCCGGTATCTAGCTCCCTTGCTGGGTCCCAAGGCCATAGACACTGTCAGCCAGATGGGTGGGGTGGTGGACAGGCTCCCACTCCTGGCCCGGGCCTATATGTCTGCGTGGAGTCTCCTGGGCTCAGGCCCCTCGGACCCCCAGTGGCAGCGGAAGGTGGGGGTCAATGGGGAGACATGCCTGGGGTGGCGAGACCCTGGGACAGAGAGAACTGGTGTCAGGCCCCGGGTGGTGCAGCCGCAGATGCTGAGGGGCTGTGTGACCTGGGTGAAGGTCCATGGGATGAAGGCCCTCGCCCTGCCTATGGCCCAGATCCCTGTGCAGACAGTATCACAGGGGCCTTCTTGGGCTCTTTGACAATTATACACCCCGATCCCCCCACCTAGATACCTAAGAAAGGCATAGGGGAAACTGAGGCACCCACACAGTATTCAGAGAAAACATTAAGAACATTCCCACTTCGTCACACCGTGGAAAGACTCCCCATGACCCCAGACCCCTGCTGGGAAGCTGCAGATCTGGAGGAGCCCTTCTTCTCTGCCGAGCATGGAGCAGGGCCTGGTGCGGGACCCTGCCGTGCGATGGCGCAGACACATCCCCATGCTGCACAGCCGCAGACCTGCCCCAAGCTGGTTTCCAGGAGCCCAGACAACGCCCACCCCGCCCTGACTCACTCAGCTGGCTCCGGGGAGCCTTTCACTTCACCCGAGTGTTTTTACATCGCTTAGCGGCCCCCCTTTTCCGCCTGCTCACCCTGACCCCTTTCCTGCCCACCCTCAGCCCTGCTGGCACCAGCCCCGGCCCGGGTGCGGTTACACCACGCGGGTGCCTGACCCGCTGCTTTATATGCCCGCCAGGGCTGTTTGGCCCACAGCGCGGGAGCCAGCTGGGAATGGGACGGGGGCCCAGTGTTATTGGCAATATCCTGCACTCCTCCGGCCCCCACCCCCGCCCCCCCAGCTGCTCCCTGGAGTTTGCTGGTGTTAGTGAGTCAACCCTTGAAACCCCCTCGGGCGGTGCGACGGGTCACGGTCCCCATTAGCCGGCTGAGCAGACAGTGGTCACACAGCTCAGCAGTGTTAAGCCAGGCTGACCTGGCGGGTTTGGGATCGTGGGGTCACTCGGGTGCTCGGGGCTGACCTGGCGGATTTGGGATCATTGGGTCGTTTAGGGCTGACCTGGCGGGTTTGGGATCGTGGGGTCGCTCGGGCGCTCAGGGCAGACCTGGCGGGTTTGGGATCGTGGGGTCGCTCGGGGCTCACCTGGTGGGTTTGGGATCGTGGGGTCGCTCGGGGCTCAGCTGGTGGGTTTGGGATCGTGGGGTCGCTCGGGCGCTCGGGGCTGACCTGGCGGGTTTGGGATCTGGGGGTCGCTCGGGTGCTCAGAGCTGACCTGGCCGGTTTGGGATCGGGGGGTCGCTCAGGCGCTTGGGGCTGACCTGCCGGGTTTGGGATCATGGGGTCGCTCGGGCACTCGGGGCTGACCTGGCGGGTTTGGGATTATGGGATCACTCGGGCGCTCGGGGCTGACCTGGCGGGTTTGGGATCGTGGGGTCGCTCG